ACAATGCCTTCTTCGTGATGGAGCTGATGTTAAGCTCCCACTTGAGGTCCTGGGTTATGATGGAGCCCGACTCCACAGCGTCCACAGGGTGATGGGGGCAACCGCAAACTCATCCGCAAACTTCAGGAGCTTGATGGACTGGTGACTGGAGGTGCAGCTGTTGGTGTACAGGGAGAAGAGAAGAAGTGGTGCAGAGGCATGGGCCCCTGCTGGGAGGGGGGCCCAGTCAGGCCCACTGTCCCATTGTCTTTCAAATCTACAGTCAGCTTGTCTGCCAGGCGTAGATCATTCATGGAATGGGGAATTTAGGCTTGTAGTTTGTACATAAACTGTAAAACGGTTTACAGTTTATGATAAAAGATTCCAGTTTATGATAAAAGATTCCAGATCAGGAGAACAGTGTTGTAGAATCACTGTCACATCGTGGCACTAGCCAATGAGTAGAAAACAGAGTCCTCCACCCTTCGATTTGCCGGAGAGCTCCGTGTTGCGAGTCTGGTATCGATCCACAGAGCCAGGTCTCAGTATAACACAAAACGGAGGATGAAGAAAAGTCTCTGTCTTACCCCACCAGTAGCTGAAGTTCGTCCAGTTTGTTGCAGAGTGAGCAAACGTTGGAGAGAAGTATGCCCGGCAGCAGTGTGCGAGATCCTCGTGTGCGGCAACGCACAAGCGCTCCGGAACGTTTCCCTCTCCGACGGCGTTTCGCTGCATGCGTTAAGGTGAGAGCACCTTTGACTAGAATGTAAAGTAATTCCACAGAAGTTAACAGAAAAGTTGGAAGTAAGTCCGCTGGAGTTGTTCCCCTGATGTTTATGAGCTCATCTCTGGTGAAAGAGCTCTGGGTATCACAGCAGAAAACAGTATTTACAATAAAAACAACACAAAACAATGAGCACCAACTCACTGCGGCAGCCATCCACGGCGCCATCTTGAGTAATCCATCAGTGGGGTCTGCATCCAATGACAAACAAAATGAAATAACATACTATTGCTTTGATCATTTATTTTACACTGTTGCAATATAACCCCCCTCCCCAGATACCATGTGGCTCAAAAAACCTTTTTCCCATCGACTTACATTGGGAAAGAGAGGTGTGTAACTCAGCAGATTTTTTTTAGGTGAGTCAACCCTCCAGTACGAACACTTGAATGGTTGCTATTTAAATCATTCTGCCCTGAAAGTTGTAAAATGCACTAATAACCGAAACCAGAGTGATTTTCCTTCCTCCGTTCACATGAACGGAGGAAGGAGGCTGGACCAAAGGCTGGGAGGCAGCGTTAAAGGAAACGCTAGTGCACTTGCTCATGAATTTTCTACTCCGAAATCAAACTTTATTTTTGTTTCATGCGCCACTGAGCAACTTCCATAGGAATAAACGGAGCGCCGCATCCAACGCTGTGTCCGGTTCTCTTTATACTGTACATCCATGGGGCAACAGGGGGAGTGAAGGAGCGTCATGCTCCATTTGATTTCACTATGTCTCCACTCAATATGATGGATTTTAACATTTATGTAGAGGTTTATTGTGTTTGATTTTCTGATATTTGTCTAATTAAGTCCAATCCCCAAAATATGAGCTGAGGTTCAATGTATAATGGTGGGGACAGCATCCTCACTCTCCAATCTGATGGATATCACGTATTTCTCAATGAATAAATATTGCACAGATGGTAATGTGCTGAGGTTTTTCCTATCATATTTGCCTGATAACACACTTGTTGAGCTCTACTGGCTTCAACGTGTTTCCAGGAAAGATAGCATCAATACCAAACTCCTTTTGAAACTCTGGTCTGGGGCTAACAACAGAGCCATTTGCATTTTCAACTGCTCATAGACGGAGGATGGTGTGGCACCAATCCAACAGCAAATGTTCCTCCTCTTTACATCATTTTGATGGTGTAACTTATACTTACTCGGTAATGCTATGTTCACACTAGGCAACAGAGCAACAAAACGGCCAAGTGTGGCCAGCTACATTGTCGGCTAGTTGCCTCTGCTTATTCTTTGGAGTTGTGCCAGTAAATCACTCTCTGCAATAACAGATTTTTTTTAGCCACTTGGGGGCAGTGGAAACAAGTTACAAACACAACATTGACATAGCATCACTTTTTAAGTTGACGTGGCGAGCTTGTTAGCAAACAGTTGGATATTTACATATTCAGCAGTTAGAGCGCAACATCAGCATTAAGAAATAGTGTTTGCATCCCTTGAGAATGTAATATTCACTCTCGTTTAGCTCTTTTTTTGGTCTCTACCAACTCTTGGGGGAAATATCTGTCTCTTTAGCTGCTAAATGCTCTACTGTGTTCACCAGCTGGCGTGTCTGTCTGCTGTTTGGTGTTGAGTAGGTAGTTACAGTGGGATTTTCAGTACTTTTTCAGTGAAAACAGCTGGCTGCTGTGGCCGAAAATGAGAGAGACAAAACAGTAAAGTTGTGGGCCGGATAATAATAATGAGCTGAGCCGAGGGGAGCTTCAGATTCAGCTCATAATTCTCTGTAGGTGCATCGATACCAGCGACCCCTTTCACATCATCATAAAAAAAATGTTTATAGCCATGTTCAAAATACTAAAAGGTGTATCTGGATAGGGCTAGTATGGTCAACCTTTAAGTCTGTCATAGCTTCCAACTGGCTGCATTCCACTGCTTTACTGATCTCTTTCCTGGAAGTCTCTTCGCACTTCTGATGAAATGAATCATACAAATGCAAAGTCAAACCTTGCCCACTTTCACACCTCCACACACCTGGCCAATCTGTGCAAAGTGGGTGGGTGTGATTATCAGATTGAAATCCCCAGGCAGTGGTGAGATTGGGATGAAAAACAAGAATCCAACTGAGTTAACATGTCAGCTTTCCATACTTTACATTTTTTTAGAAAGGTGAGTAACAAAGTAACAAAAGTAACAAAAAAGCCTGGTCGTATTTCCCATCAGGATGTTTGAGTATAAACATCATGGTAGCCTACAGTCAAGATGAGAAAAATAATGACCTCCACTTGCAGCCTCAAAAGCTGAACAACCACATTAGTCCCTGAAGACATGTTACGGTCGTGTGAGGGGAGTGATGAACAAAATACAACAGCCTGTTCATTTATGTTTCACCAGAAAAGTTCTTTAAATTCACTCTCCCATTTTCCTCAGTGTGTTCTGATCCCGAAAAGTTTGTTCAAATTAGTTCAAGAATTACAGTTAATCTGGTCACATATTTTTACAGACTGTGTGACAAACAGACTGTGTCATCAGCCCAATAAATCACCACCGTCCCCGTGGTGGCTGTGGAACTGGCACATAAATTAACTATTCATAAAGGTGGTCTCTCTCTCTCTCTCTCTCTCTCTCTCTCTCTCTCTCTCTCTCTCT